CAGTGTATTCCTTGGGATGTTTGAAGTCACATCCAGTGTATTCCTTGGGACGTTTGAAGTCACATCCAGTGTATTCCTTGGGACGTTTGAAGTCACATCCAGTGTATTCCTTGGGACGTTTGAAGTCACATTCAGTGTATTCCTTGGGACGTTTGAAGTCACATCCAGTGTATTCCTTGGGACGTTTGAAGTCACATTCAGTGTATTCCTTGGGATGTTTGAAGTCACATCCAGTGTATTCCTTGGGACGTTTGAAGTCACATTCAGAGTATTCCTTGGGATGTTTGAAGTCACATCCAGTGTATTCCTTGGGACGTTTGAAGTCACATTCAGTGTATTCCTTGGGATGTTTGAAGTCACATCCAGTGTATTCCTTGGGACGTTTGAAGTCACATCCAGTGTATTCCTTGGGACGTTTGAAGTCACATCCAGTGTATTCCTTGGGACGTTTGAAGTCACATCCAGTGTATTCATTGGGACGTTTGAAGTCACATCCAGTGTATTCCTTGGGACGTTTGAAGTCACATCCAGTGTATTCCTTGGGACGTTTGAAGTCACATCCAGTGTATTCCTTGGGATGTTTGAAGTCACATCCAGTGTATTCCTTGGGAACGTTTGAAGTCACAACCAGTGTATTCCTTGGGACGTTTGAAGTCACATCCAGTGTATTCCTTGGGACGTTTGAAGTCACATCCAGTGTATTCCTTGGGACGTTTGAAGTCACATTCAGTGTATTCCTTGGGACGTTTGAAGTCACATCCAGTGTATTCCTTGGGACGTTTGAAGTCACATCCAGTGTATTCCTTGGGACGTTTGAAGTCACATCCAGTGTATTCCTTGGGACGTTTGAAGTCACATCCAGTGTATTCCTTGGGACGTTTGAAGTCACATCCAGTGTATTCCTTGGGACGTTTGAAGTCACATCCAGTGTATTCCTTGAGACGTTTGAAGTCACATCCAGTGTATTCCTTGGGACGTTTGAAGTCACATCCAGTGTATTCCTTGGGACGTTTGAAGTCACATCCAGTGTATTCCTTGGGACGTTTGAAGTCACATTCAGTGTATTCCTTGGGACGTTTGAAGTCACATCCAGTGTATTCCTTGGGACGTTTGAAGTCACATCCAGTGTATTCCTTGGGAGGTTTGAAGTCACATCCAGTGTATTCCTTGGGACGTTTGAAGTCACATCCAGTGTATTCCTTGGGACGTTTGAAGTCACATCCAATGTATTCCTTGGGACGTTTGAAGTCACATCCAGTGTATTCCTTGGGACGTTTGAAGTCACATCCAGTGTATTCCTTGAGACGTTTGAAGTCACATCCAGTGTATTCCTTGGGACGTTTGAAGTCCACATCCAGTGTATTCCTTGGGACGTTTGAAGTCACATCCAGTGTATTCCTTGGGACGTTTGAAGTCACATCCAGTGTATTCCTTGGACGTTTGAAGTCACATCCAGTGTATTCCTTGGGACGTTTGAAGTCACATCCAGTGTATTCCTTGGGACGTTTGAAGTCACATCCAGTGTATTCCTTGGGATGTTTGAAGTCACATCCAGTGTATTCCTTGGGACGTTTGAAGTCACATTCAGTGTATTCCTTGGGACGTTTGAAGTCACATCCAGTGTATTCCTTGGGACGTTTGAAGTCACATCCAGTGTATTCCTTGGGACGTTTGAAGCAGGAGTGTGACTAGTGCACTGAGAGAGAAATTAATAAGCGTTAGAGGTCCCCGACTTTTCAACACCAAAAAACTTCTGCTGTTTACAAAAAGGAACTGAATTCCTCAGATCATTTCCTGATCAGCTGGACTGTGGTTTGTAAGCTGGACTGCATGTGACCAGTAACAGCCTGGTTGATTATGCCTTGATCCACCAGGAGACCTGGTCTGGAACAGGGCAGCGGGGGCGCTGAGCCCCGAAGGTATCTTTCACGTATCCTTCAGGTGGGTAGTAATTTGGGCGTGGGTAGTGTCTAGTGTGGGTGGTAATTTGGGAGTGGGTAGTGTGTAGGTGTGGGTGGTAATTTGGGAGTGGGTAGTGTGTAGGTGTGGGTGGTAATTTGGGAGAGGGTAGTGTGTAGGTGTGGGTGGTAATTTGGGAGGGGTATTTGGTAGGTGTGGGTGGTAATTTGGAAGTGGGTAGTGTGTAGGTGTGGGTGGTAAATTTGGGAGTGGGTAGTGGGGTAGGGTGGGGGGTAATTCGGGAGTGGGTAGTGTGTAGGTGTGGGTGGTAATTTGGGAGTGGGAGATGTGTAAGTGTGGGTGGTTATTTAAGAGTGGGCAGTGTGTAGGTGTGGTGGTAATTTGATATGGGTATGTGTAGGTGGGTGGAAATTTTTGGGAGTGGGTAGTGTGTAGGTGTGGGTGGTAAATTTGGGAGTGGGTAGTGTGTAGGTGTGGGTGGTAATGGGGAGTGGTTAGTGTGTAGTGTGGGTGGTAAATTTGGGAAGTGGGTAGTGTGTAGGTGTGGGTGGTAATTGGGGAGTGGGTAGTGTGTGGGTGCGGGTGGAAATTTTTGGGAGTGGGTAGTGTGAAAGTGTAAGTGTTTATTTAAGAGTGGGTAGTGTGTAGGTGTGGGTGGTAATTTGGAAGTGGGTAGTGTGTAGGTGTGGGTGGTAATTTGGGAGTGGGTATTGGGTAGGTTGTGGGTGGTAATTTGGGAGTGGGTAGTGTGTAGGTGTGGGTGGTAATTTGGAGGGGGTAGTGTGTAGTGTGGGGGTAATTTGGGAAGTGGGTAGCGTGTAGGGGGTGGGTGGTAATTTGGAGTGGGTAGTGTAGGTTGGGTGGTAATTTGGGAGTGGGTAGTGTGTAGGTGTGGGTGGTAATTGGGAGTGGGTAGTGTGTAGGTGTGGGTGGTAATTTGGGAGTGGGTAGTGTGTAATGTGGGGGGTAATTTGGAAGGGGCTAGCGTTAGTGTGAGTGGTAATTTGGAAGTGGGTATTTGTTGGGTGTGGGTGGTAATTTGGGAGTGGGTATGTGTAGGTGTGGGTGGTAAATTTGGAATGGTAAGTGTGTAGGTGTGGGTGGTAATTTGGGAGTGGGTAGTGTGTAAGTGTGGGTGGTTATTTAAGAGTGGGTAGTGTGTAGGTGTGGGTGGTAATTTGGAAGTGGGTAGTGTGTAGGTGTGGGTGGTAATTTGGGAGTGGGTAGTGTGTAGGTGTGGGTGGTAATTTGGGAGTGGGTAGTGTGTAAGTGTGGGTGTTATTTAAGAGTGGGTAGTGTGTAGGTGTGGGGGTAATTTGGAATGGGTAGTGTGTAGGTGTGGGTGGTAATTGGGAGTGGAAAGTTTTGTAAGTGTGGGTAGCGTGTAATGTGGGTAGTGTGTAATGTGGGTAGCGTGTAGATGTGGGTGGAAAATTTTGGAAGCGGTAGTTTTGGTAGGTGGGGGTGGTAATTTGGGAGTGGGTAGTGTGTGTGGGTGGTTATTTAAGAGTGGGTAGTGTGTAGGTGTGGGGTAATTTGGAAGTGGGTAGTGTGTAGTGTGGGTGGTAATTTGGAAGTGGGTATGTGTAGTGTGGGTGGTAATTTGGAAGTGGGTAGTGTGTAAGTGTGGGTAAGTGTGTTGGTGTGGGTGGTAATTTGGAAGTGGGTAGTGTGTAGGTGTGGGTGGTAATTTGGGAGGGGGTAGTGTGTAGGTGTGGGGGGTTATTTAAGGTGGGTATTTGTGTAGGTGTGGGTGGTAATTGGGAGTGGGTAGTGGTAGGTGTGGGTAGTAATTTGGGAGTGGGTAGTGTGTAGGTGTGGGGTGGTAATTTTGGGAGTGGGCATGTGCGGGGTGTGGGTGGTAATTTGGTAGTGGTTAGTGTTAGGTGTGGGTGGTAATTTTGGAGTGGGTAGTGTGTAGGCGTGGGTGAATTTGGAAGTGGGTAGTGGTGTAGGTGTGGGTGGTAATTTGGGAGTGGGTAGTGTATAGGTGTGGGTGGTAATTTGGAAAGTGGGAAAATGTGTAGGTGTGGGTGGTAATTTGGGAGTGGGTAGGTTTTAAGTGTGGGTTGGTTATTTAAGAGTGGTTAGTGTGTGGGTTTGGGGGTGGTAATTTGGAAGGGGGTAGTGTGTAGGTGTGGTGGTAATTTGGGAGTGGGTAGTGTGTAAGTGTGGGGTGGTTATTTAAGAGGGGGTAGGGGTGTAGGTGTGGTGGAAAATTTGGAAGTGGGTAGTGTGTAGGTTGGGGTGGTAATTTGGGAGTGGGTATTTTTAGGTGTGGGTGGTAATTTGGAAGTGGGTAGTGTGTAGGTGTGGGTGGTAATTTGGGAGTGGGTAGTGTGTAAGTGTGGGTGGTTATTTAAGAGTGGGTAGCGTGTAGGTGTGGGTGGTAATTTGGAAGTGGGTATGGTAGGTGTGGGTGTAATTTGGAGTGGTAGTGTGTGGGGGTGGTTATTTAAAAATGGTATGTGTAGTGTGGGTGTACTTTGGAAGTTATGGAGGTGTGGTGTACTTTGGGAAGGGGTAGTGTGTAGTTGGGGGAAATTTTGGAGGTAATGTGTTAAGTGTGGTAGTGTGTTGGTGTGGGTGGTAATTTGGAAGTGGTAGTGTGTAATTTTGGGGTTATTTAAGATGGAATGTTAGTGTTGGTGTAATTGGAAAAGTGGTTTTGGGTAGGTATGGGTGTTTTTGGAGTGGTATTTGTGAGGTGGGTATATTTGGGAGTGGTAGTGTATTGTGGTGGAAATGGAAGGGGATTATTGCAGGTGTGGGTGGCAATTTTGGGAGTGGGTAGTGTGTGGGGTGTGGGTGGTAATTTTAGGATGGGTATTTGCAGTGTGGGTGGCAATTTGGGAGTGGGTATTGTTAGGTGTGGTGCAATTTGGGATGGTATGTGGAGGTGTGGGGAAATTTTGGGAGTGGTATTTAGGTGTGGGTGGTAATTTGGAAGTGGGTAGTGTGTGGGTGTCAGTGGTAATTTGGGAGTGGGTAGATGAGGAGACACGTGGGAGGAAGAGAATGAAGGGGTAGATGAGGAGACACGTGGGAGGCTGCGATGCTCGCGCAGCTGGTGTCTTCACTATAAGAGCAAGAGAGGAGGCACAATGGACCACTCACTCTGCAGGCAGCATCCAGCGTGGTCCAGCAACAGGCAGCATCGACTGCACTCCCTTCGTTACCACACACTCACCCAGAGTCCAAGAATG